AGTTGAGAGTTGGTCCACTTATCAACCCTAATATTCTACAAGGGGGAAAGAATTGATCACTATATAATTATGGCGGCAAATGAGTTGAGTTTCGATCTACTTTGAGCTCAGCTCGTTAATAAAAGAGTCGAGCTCAGTTCGAGTTCGAGTCATTAATGAGTCCACGAGCTCTAATTGAGATCGGTTCAATCTCAAGTATCAGATTATTTAGTTAATTAGTTTCAATTGTTCATATAATGTCATAGTAATTAGTATATGGACAACCCAGATATATTTTCTCTTTTAAATTATAAATGAGAAATATTTGGTCATGTACTCGTGAAAGCTTTAAACATTACATGTAGTGAGATGCATAATCTAACAAACCTACAAATTATCAAAAAACCAACTCATAAGCTATAAATCCATTCACTCATAAGCCGCAAGTTACGGTGGCATGCTAGCCACACCATCGAGTCAGATCATAGCTCAAAATGAACTAGCTCACAAATTGAGCTCAACAAGACACTGAGTCGAGGTGACTCTCGAGCTTGCGAGCCGAACAAGGCTTGGCTCAACCTCGGCTTGATAGTAAACGAGTCAAGTGTGAAACGAGCTTTTCCCTAGCCGAGCGCCTAGCAGCTCGCGAACAGGTTGGCACATTTCCAACCCTAATTATAACATTGGCAAAAGGTAGGAAATGTAAGTGTGATATACATGTTTGCATTTATTGAAGTGAACCAACATATTCAATTGAAATTTATAGGCTTCCCAGCCATTGATCAGCTGCTCCATGTAAACCTACATGGTGGATGAGGATTGAGGGTATATAATATGCAGTATGCTACTGTTTCAATTAAATGCATGTACCAAGCCATTTTCACTCTCTTATGAAGAAAATCAGAAATGTATAAAAACATGAATATTGGTTGGAGGAGAGCTTCAAAGTTCACTTTCATCGGGTTGATAACATTCAGGTAAGGTTTCACTCCACAAAGGCAGTCAACGGGACAATTGAATGTTTCAAGGATGAGAGGGACTTGTGTATAGTAATGTAAAAACTAAAAAGTCAAGAAAAGTGGAAAATAAATAATGGGTCATTGCATTCCATGCCTCGTTGTTGTTACTTGTTAGATATGCCAATTTTAATCTGATTCGCTCTATTTAATCTATTTTGAGATGAGTAATATCCGTTTCATTGGAGTACATGTTTTGCCTAAATTATATGTAATATTACTCAAATTACTTAGGATTTTAGTTTTATTACATCATATGCTAGATATTATAAAGTTGTAAAAATGTGATAAATAAACTCAACTTCTTGAATGATTTAAGTGCATTGATCATGTCTAGTTTTTTCCCCAACTTATAAATGAAAAAAAAATTCAATTATTCAAATGTTTTCTCTTTAAATTACACGTGCACATATGAATCAATCAAGCCCGACTCACGCCCTAAAACCAAATAACTTATCTGAATCGATGTGCCACAGAATTGATAATAGTATCAACTATCAAGATATATGTCTCACTGCCTTTAGTTAATGCTTCATTAGCCTCCCCTGTGAATAATGTTGTCGTTCTCCTGTTTTTTTTTTTTTTCAATCATTTAATATATATTTGTTTTCAGCTGGTACATAAAACAAAAAGAACTCACTGGTCGACAGGACCTTTGCTCTGACCATGGAGGAGGAGGAGAACAGAAGAAGGCAAATGAAAACACAAAAATCGTCCTAATTAGAATTGGTCCATCCTTACAATTTCCATTGCCTTTTAAGCTTTACAGGCTGTGACCTAGAGAGGCAGAACAAGAGCAGAACAGAAGGAAGAAAATTGGCTAAAAAACATTCATTAATAAAACAACAAACAGAAAAGGAAGAGGGGGAGGCAAACATTTGTATCCAAGCTATTAACATCATGTATAATTTGATTCACAGGCTCCTTTGCTTGACATTCTTATCGCTTAAATCAGTTAAGTCGGAAGTTTGAGTGAGAAGAGTGTAAAATGAAGAAAAAAAATCGTTAATATATATAAATATGAAATGAGGTTATTGTTAACTAACAAAAGGTAATATATAGGTTGGGGTTGTTTTCCGCTAACCTTCTTTGATCATGCATCTTAAGCGCATGGGGTAAGTATAAAAAGGGCAAAGTAAAGTGAGTTTCGAAATCATAAAGAAACTAATAACAACAAATCTTTAGTTTTAATAGATAGTGCGAGAATTCTTATTGTATTTTTTAAAATTAAATTCTTATTGTATTAGTTCAACTTTTTTTATATGATTTTGCTTGAGACAGTAACATATAAATAAATAAATAAAGTAATAGAGCAATGATGAGCGATAATCAGAAATTGCACCCACAAAATACATCACTTAAAACGAGAATTCATGCAGAAGGAAAAAAAAAACAAGATTTGTCAAACCATATTGCATTGGCGATCCATTGTAAAAATTCTTTGTTGGAGTCTAAGCCGATAGATAGTTTTAACGGTATGAGACGCTTCCAGTACGAAATACTATATTACTGACTTTTGATACAACCTTTGAGAAAAAAGGAGAATTAAAAACACACAATAACTATATCACTGTTTTCCGTTACCCGCAGCATGGCGCGGGTCATTGTCTAGTAAAAACTATAAAAGTTGAGTGTAGGTAGGATAATAACCCACCAGCTTCTCTGTTGTTGTCTGTTGATTTGAATGGCTATCATATTTACTTGAGCATTCTCAAAACTCGTCGCTAATTAGGAAGGAGGATAAATGATACTGAATTTGACAGACGAAATTATGCATGAGAGGTGTAATGTAAGTCCTAACTCGATCTTTGTGACTCTTGTTAGGAATTGTATTTGAAGTGTTGATCATATTGGTATAGAATTATATTGGATTAGGAGTTTGAACAAAAGATATGGAAGACCATGAATGGGAGGAAATTGTTTTGTAAGGGTTATATGGCAATTTGGGTATGTTTACACCTATTATTCTACAATTATTGGAGGTAGGTACATACTCAAGTCATCTTTGCATTCTTGGACCTTTACTAGAGTAGAGTAGAGAAATAGAGAGAATGTTAAAAGCTAAAGGCTAACTCTTCTTTGAAAAAAGTTCAAAGCCATACTTATTCGACCTATTCTCTCTTTTGCTGTTGAATCATGAGAGCTCCTCTTGCTAGTACTATGTAGCAATCATAAATCTTGCCTCCATTTGCTATCAAATTTACACATATCATTGCAATGTGATGTCCATTCAATAACAAAAAAGAAATAGCAAAGAAGAAGAAAAGGAAAAAGGAAAGGCATGGCTCCATAATACCAAAGATCTTGTCTCCAAACTTATGCATCCCCATTACCCACTATATAACTCCTTTCAACCTTCCCAATTTTTCAAAAACTTGTCTAACTTTCCCCACTCTTTGAGTGATGCTTCTCTTTCTGTCTCTATCTTGTTAAGTCCTCTTTTCTTATGGATTTGTTAAGCTTGTGAACACTATTCGTACCATAGTTCAAAAAGGCCTATCAAGCTTATGAGCAGGTGCGTTTAGGTGTTAGGCAAAGTCATAATACCTCGTCTAGAGGTTTAGTGGCGACTTAGGTATTCATGATGCTTCAATATACCTAGGTGTCACATATGCTTAATTAGACGAAGCTAGGAATGCAACCTCAAAGGGAGACATTGACATAATTTACAAACTTTTAATTTTCTCTCTCAATCTTTTGAATGTCCCGAGAATTTTATTAGTTATTTGTGTTGTTGTTAAGTAAGTTATTAATTATCTGCAATGAAGTGTGAAAGTGTTGTAAGTTGTTATTCATCGATCATTTAGTACAAACTGCTATTTTTATTCTAGCACCTGAGCATGCTTAGGTGGGACAGACATTTAGGCTATATCCCAACATTCACCTTAGATCTAACGCCTTCTTGAACCATGATTCATATTAATAAGTCAATTACTATTCGTTGGAAGTAAGGTAAATCATGTTCACCATGATTATCAGTTTAACAATCATGATACGTGATTCAAAATACACACTCTCACTCATACACCTCATATGTGATATTTCTCCACATTGACAATTGTAAAATTTGAACTAGAGATCCCCATTTTCAAATTCAACATCTATAGCATGAAGCCATTTGCGATTATTTAGTTAAATTATTCATACTATCTTGAAATATGTCCCCTTTTTATGCATGAACATGAATGAAGAATTGGGGGTTTAATTGCACTCAAGTGCTTAACAAAGCTTCCACCAATATCTAATCAAGATCCCATCCATGAAATTAATTATAATGGAGCAAATAATTATGATAATTAATATTCTATTACACATAAAAAGAATTAACTGACACAACCTGAACATCATTGGTGCCAAAAATAGTAGCCTTCCAACAAAGGTGGCTGGCATGCACTAGTTTAGATTTTTTTTTTTTTTTTAACAAGTGTTCCAATATATAATTGGGGGATGCATTTTCTTTGAATACAAACAATTCCAGTGCATTAGATTACACGTGAAATAAAGGCAACAGCATCACAAGATTAATAAATAAATTAAGATTTCTTATGGGTAACTTAAGAACAAATTTAAAAGACATGCATGGTTGGAAAATGGAAATAAAAGAATCAAAAGTAAAGATACTAGGAGCTAAAATTGCAAAATAAAATCATATGATTAAAGTGTAAAACTTGTGGTTGCCAACCGAATCCAACTAGTGACACAATGCCTTATTAATTGTGCTTTGTGAATTTGTGTCGTTAAGTGAACTAATGCTATTAGTGATTACTCCAATTACTAGAGACGTTACATATTGGCACATAGAATTTGGAAGCATTGCATTGATCATCGTATGCCACCATTTTTATGATTGAAGGACAAAGCCTCAACTAACTAACATAATACCAATGTAGACTGAAAAATTAAAATCGTGTTTTAAAACTTTAAAAGATTACGTTTTGATATTTATATGTAGAATCGTAATTTCGACTGCATTGCAAAATACATACAATAAAACTAACTCGTTAAACATGCTACAAAATTTTTTGGTTTTTCCCTCAATTTATTTGAATCATCGTGAATATTTAGATTATAACATCCCAATTCTCACATATACATTGTCCACGTCAAAGGGTATGCTTCCCAACTTAAGAGAAACGTTACCACATGGAGAATTACAACAGAAATTATTATGAATAAGAATTAAACATAAAGATCGCATCATCATCATCCACCATTGATGAACAATGATCTTCCTTGCCTTTCCTTCTTCCCCCTCTTTTTCCCACAAAATGCCTCTCGCCATGCCCCAGTGGAACCCTTCAAATTCTAATCTTATCACCAGGGCTCGGCCAGATGGCGCAAAACCGAATCTTCTTCTCAGCCTGTTGGGAGATGACGACGAGACCAAACAAGAGGGCTCTGCTAGATTGATTGAGGACTCTTTCACACCTTCCTCTGGTTCTAATTGTGGCTCCCAACGAAACCCACAAAGACCCATTGGTCGTCATCTTGGGTTCTGCTCTTCTTCTGCAGTGGCTGCTGCTCTGCCTCCAATGGTGGTGGTGGAGGAGATGAATAGACTGAGGAAGAAGAAGAGGATGAAAATGACCCTTTCCCTTTTGCTTTTGGCATTAGACTTCCCAAACCCCAAGAATCGTTTGAGCTGTCACAGCTCAGAAAAGCTTCTGCATCAATCACGCCACTAGGACTGCTCGGAAACACCACCCCTCCTTCTTCTTCATAATGGCAATAGTACTTTCTCTTCTTCCCAACGCCATTGCCCTTTGCCACCTCCATTATCACCTCATAACACTCCTTCACATCTTCCTGCTCCATGGACAACGAGACCCCATCAGTACTTTTAGCTTAATCATCATGGACTAATTATTATATCAGCAAAATAATGAACGAAAGGCATTAACTAATAACTATATCCTGTTCAAAGAAGGCAATATAATACATGATTATGTTCCCCCCCCCAACCCCCCCACCTTGTGTCCTTTTACTTGCTTACACACCCGAGACAATAGTACAAAAACACAAACAGCTTCCTGGATCCCAGTTTTGTGCAAGCTTTTGCAGACCAATATTTGACCGGCATTTTCTTTTCAAACTTGCAAATGAATAAATACAAATGATTTTGTTCTACAAAAGGTGAGAGGGGTATACCTTGCTGATGTTCAGGACAGCAAGCAGCTGAGTCTGATAGTCAATGGGGTTAAAGTGCTCGACTTGGTCAATAACGTGCATCATGGTTGCAGTTGCCAGAACTGATGCCTTATATCTGACAGATCTTGAATCTACAAGCCCAAAACCGAAAGAAACATCCCCAGGAAAAGCAGCAATGGTCAAGACACAGGGAGAAACAGACAAACAAACAAACAATCAAAAAGTCGTCTCCTTTTTTTTGTTGCAAATAGCTACCAGCTTACCGGAGACTAGGCAGAGGAGGAGATGGTGACACTGGTTGAGAAACTCCCAGTGAACATTGCTCTTCAGGCCAAGCCTCCGAACAATGTGATCCACAAAGGAGATTGGAGTCACCGGATGCATCTTCCAGCCAAGGGAAGATAGCACTAGAAGCTCCATCCTTTGAATCGTCTTCGCCTCGAATACATATTTTGTCTCCTCAACCTGAAAACCCCACGAAGGAACAACATTACAGCAAAATCCCGAAGATTGTTTAGTAAATTTAAGAGTTCTATGTTCTGTGCGGCATTTCATCGAGCACCTGGAGGTCAAGCAAGAGTGGGACGTCGGTTTCCTCGACTTTAGCAGCCAGAGAAAGGCAAGTCACGGCGACGAGCTGGATCATCCATGGCTTATCCTTCTGGTAACGTGGCGACGAAAGGAACCGATCAAGGTAATTGATAGCTAGCACAGAGGTGAGAGTGGAAAACCCGTAGTGGGTGCTGACACTAACCATCCAGTCCACAGCTCGCCGACGAGCAGGGCAAGTTTCCTTTACCCCCATTGCTCCCTTCCATCGCTTCTCCTCGGCGAAGAGGGAAACGAGCTCTTCGTCTTCCCAGAACAAGTCCTGCTCCAGCAACAGAATCGGAGAAAGGCAATGGGCACCGCCGGCGACGTCGAGGCAATCCAGAACCTCCCCATCGTCGTCTTCGCAATCCCACCTCTCTTCCTCGCAGTAGAGTTCGTCGAGAGGAGATGAAGAGGAAATGGAGGTTTGGTCGTGGTCATCGTCGGAGTTGTGGGGATTGGGGAATCGAAGCGGCTGCATCGTCTTCATGGCAAAAGAAGGAGGGAAGTGGGGGTAATCAGAGGTCATTATGGAAAGGAGAGGAAAGTGAAGGTGGGATTCGCCATTGTTGTGTAGGAAGGAATGATGTCTGTGTTTTCTGGGTAATGGAGAAGATAAAGGAGAGAAGAAGAAGGAAGGGAAGGGAAAGGAAAAGGGGAAGAGTTGGGGGCTTTGAGTTTTCACGCTTGTCTCTTTTTGTGGAGAGTGGATCGACTTTTTATACGGAGAGGGAGAGGGATTTTATAGAGAAAATAAAAATAGAAAATTAACAAGTGTAAAATTGAATTGTTGTATCGAAAAAGTTAAGTGGTATAATATATTGTGTTGAATTGTTGATATTGTAGTTCATTTGTTTTATGTTGTTAAAATTTATATATCAAATTTAAACTTCAGTAAAAGGTTATTCCGTTCAAATCGTTATGTGTGATAGAGCAATTCATGCTGAAAAGTTAAAAACAACAACAAATGAGAAATAAATTGATAAAAACAAAGTAAAATCACAAACTCTCCTAGTTTATCTCGGTTATAGCATCACAAAGTAAGGCTTCAGCTCGTCTGACAAAGATAAAGATAAGACCATGGTGATTGAACATGAAACGCCATAAGCCTCCACTTGGGGGTTTTTGAAGATGACTCATCACGGTGAATCTTAGGATCGTGATGACTTGGTGGTGGGCATATACTGAAACCAAAATGCTCAGAGCTAAACAAGGTCTAGGGAGTCGGGAGCAAGATGCATCGTATCATGGAGATCCAAACAATACCTTCTCAAACTCTATAGAATCACGGAGAAGCTGCCAACGACACTCAGAAATGACACCCATTACCCATCAGATAATCGGGAAAGAGGCAGAAATGACAAAAATATATTTTGTCACTGCAGTAAAACTTACTTCTTACTACATAATTGTATATTTGTTTTATATATTTATTTTTCGAAAAAATAAACTAATTTCAACTAACAACTCCGTGGCTGGCTACCAAGTACCAACACCCTATAACAAAATTTGCATTTCACATTTGGTCACTTGTTATTTCGGGTGCTGTTCTCCAAGCTTACCTAAACCCTTTAGGCATCAAAAACCCCTTTTAGGTTAGAATAATAATCCAATAAACAAAGACACTAATGAGTATAGAGGACAAAAGAGTTAATTGGACCTCATCGAGAGTTTGACCTAGCAAACTCCAAAGCTTTCTTCTTCTCCCCAAGTGGAGACACAATATATACTTCCAAAAAACTCCCAATAATTATCTGTATATTATTCACTCCACAAATTTAGCACTCCCATAAGTAAAACTTTTGTTAGCTTGCAATTTGGACCTTCCCATCTCTCTCTACTTATACTTTTATCATATCAAAAGCAGCCCGCGTGTCGTACGCTCGTTGAGTTTTACTTTCTAAACTATGAATTAATCAAAATTTGGGACATGTTAATATTACCTTAATTTTAAATAGGTGAACCCAAACCCTCAATTTTATAACCCATACCATAAGACTCATTCTATCTGAAATTTACCACCAACGATTCTTATTCGTCACAATATATCAAAGTATATTAAAAAAAAAATAACACAAAACACATATTATATGTCACACTAGCCTTTTTACCATATATTTATATATATACTTACAATCATATTTACTCTATATCATCCATCCATCCATCCATGGCATGAAGAACAGCACCAAAGTCAAAATGTTTTTTCACTACAATTCATGGACAAGGAAACACAACAAGAAGTCAACGTTTTCTCTTGGTTTCGTATGTTTGGGACTTTTGTGGATGCATGGAATCTCAGTGTCAATGGACACAAAAACATCGTAATAAAACAGACCCGAAACAGCCCGATCTCAGCCCACCTGATTTTGCGACACCAAAAGCCCAATATGTAAAGCGTCTCATACCGATACCATTTCTTTTCCAAGTGGGAAAAATGATTAATGATACATTTGGACACTGAGATTACTAAATCGTGACATACACTAAAAAAATTTAATATCAATTTTGGTAACTCAAATTACTGAAACAAATGTTGTTGATTACAAGTTTAATATTCGTTGATTCGAGTCCAATTTATGCTAGAGTATACCCTATACATCAAAATTATGGATGTACCATAGTCGATAGACTCATCCATACTTTATGGTTAATAATTTCGGTTACATTCTGTACGAAATTAACAAATTGAATCTAAAATCTCCAGATTGGAGACCAGAGCGGGTGCACAAATTTTTATCACTTAAATTAGTTAATTATTAGTGTTATATAAGAGCATATGACTTGGATGCATGCATGCATGTATGATTAATCTCAACAAAAATTTAGGGAATAGTAGTCAATGCTGTGGGTTCTGTTATATGTGCCTAATTCTCATCTTAAGCTCACCCAAGGACAACAACCATTTCATATATTTTTTCTCTCTCAATTACTCATTACTTATTAGTTGGTCAATAATATATAACCTAGCTTTTTCCCTACCTTGTTTGTGTTAGTGGGGAATAGTCAAGACTCAAGAACAGAATTCAATTCTACCTTTCGGTTTTAACAAGATTTGGTTTGTCAACCACGAAGCACAAGAGATTTTCACTTTTTGGGAATATGAAAAAAAAAAACATCTGCCTTTCCCACTCACCAATCTTTCAAGTAACTATTTTGAAAGTTGATGGCAAATCAAACTTAAGATATTTAGTGTTGGTTTTATTGATGGTAGAATGACTAATCCTATTTTTGTGTATAGTCACATTAAAAAAACAGACATTTGCGGGCAAAATAAGCTACCATAAATTGGGTTGGGTATTTTGCTATCCACTACAACCCACTAAAAAAAACCCTCCATTTTGTGGGAAACACGATTTTTCTATATTATTATTATAATCATTATTAGGATAATTCTTATTATGGTTAGTAGTCTTCTAGTAGAATTAGGTTTATTCTTAGGGTTTTCTAGTATTTCCCTATATATATGTATTTTGGGTCATTCTTCAGATTAAGCAGAAATTAATAAGAAAAGTCATCTCCCCAAATCCCTAATCTTCTCTCAATCTCGTCTATCTTTCTCTCTAAAGATTTCGGCCATTCTATCTCTATTCTTCCCCAAATTCTCTTATCAAATTCCTAAATCCCCAATTCTGTTCCTAATCCCTACTTCTCTTCTAAAATCCCTAAATCTCTACCAATTCCCAATTTCCAAACACATTCGTTGGAACCCTAAAAATAGGTTTCCTACATCTGGTATCAGAGCCCGGTTTCGAGAATTGAGTTCACCACAACTCTCAACCGGGGACGATTTCTACAACTGGTTCGACGATGAGCTCTTCAAAGCTCTCGAACCTGTCGTGGGCCGAATTGCGGGACAGAGCCCGTCGCATCGGCCGCCGTTGGCTGCCCGAAGAGCCGGCGGTCGAGCTGACTGGCGCCAGGCGAGATAAGGATGTGGAGACGACGGGGTCAACTCCTAGTCGTCGGATCGAAGACTCGTCACAGTAGATAGGGGCGAGGCGGGAGCTGCTGATTGACGAAACGTCAGAGCAGAAAGACCGCGCGACAATCCTCGTCGCGCGAGGGAGGGTGGCTCCAGCCGCGACGACGACCGATGAAGAGCAGATGACGGAGCATAAGGTCGGAGAGGTTTCGCCGCCTGGTCGCGGAGTTCAGGGATCGCCGCCGACAGAGTTGATGGAGTTAGAAGCCGAGTCACCGTCTCGCAAGCATGCTGCTGTCGTTCAGCTCCACACGTCGACAACGAAGCTGATTGCGACGGTTCAACCCCTGCCGTCGTGGACAGCAGCAACCGCCACTGCCAGAGTTGAGGGCGAGCACCCCTCCACAGCGAACAACATCCTAGGGATCGGAGAAGTCGTTGGGTGCGTCTCCCAGAAAGCATCCCCATCCAACCCCCCGACTGATGGGTGGAAGTTTCGAAAGAAAAAGCTTACAGGAGCAGCCCTTGTTCCTCGTCCGCGGAACGACGACGACGCGGAAGGGATGGACAGGAACTCCGGGACATGGGCAAAGCTCCACGGAAGCAATGAAGGACGACCCGGAGACGAATCGATGACGAGCCTCACGACAGGCTTGCCGGATCCACGAATCCCGCGAGCTGTGCAGCAATCAGCGGCGGCTCTCTATGCGTGGACGATATCCGAAGAGACGATGAAGCACGGGATCGGCGCGGCTGCTTCCCTTGCGCGATTGATGTCGGTTCCAAGCCGGACGACGACTGCGAGGAGAGAAGCGGAGCAGGACCACCGCGAGTCTTCGCCGTCGACGCGAGTCGCGCGGGTGACGCCGACCAGCCCACCCATGGTGATGGAGGGAGAGACGCCAGAGAAGGAGGGGCAGAGCCGCCAGGGTTCTTCGCCTGCGACGCCATTCCGAGGGCGGCGCACCGCCGGGAGAAGAGTCGCCGGAGAGAGCGCTGCTGGAGAAGGAAGGCGGCGTTATCTCGGAGCCGGGCCGTTGGGGAAACAGATCGGCGGTGAGGGTCAAACGACGACAACGTCGCGGGCAAAAGAGGAAGTTGGCGGCGGCGGCTTCAATCCTCTCGCCAAGCCTAGGTGGCCAACCCTAGACAACTGTTTGGGCCGCATGGCTGACCGGGCCCAAAATCCGAATGGGCCACGAAGCGTGGACCGACCCGAGAAAGAAAGGACGGATCGCAAGTGGGTTCGACCGGGTCCTGGGTCGCACAAAGGCGGTCTGACCGAGTGCCTTCTTTATGGTATTGGGCCGGACCCAGTTGTGGAGATGAAGACTACTGGGCTCAGTCTGGGCCCGACAGATCAATTGAGCAAACAGAAATTTAGAGTGAAATGGGCCGAGCAAGAGATTGGGCCGAAGCTTGAAATGGACCAGATGCCATGGTCCAGTTTTGAGGAAGTGGGTCCGCGTTTGCAGACTTTAATTGGGCTTCAACTGGGTTGTTTAGTTGAATCTCTTTATTTTGGTATGGGCTTAGAAGAGGATAAAGATGGGTTCATGGGCTTAGATGATGGGCTCCAGGAAGAGGAACTCTATGATTCTTACTTGGTAGAGTTTGAGGAGGATAAAGGGTCATTTGGCCATGATTGCGACACGAGCTACGTGGGTAAAGAAGAAGCAATGGGAGTCGAGGTGGCTGGTGTGGGATTCATTCGAGCAGTGGAGCACAATTGGAAGACAAGAAAACGCAAGGAGTGGAGAAGACAAAACGCGGATTGCGCGGGAGATGTGAAGAAATGGGTCAAGTCAGTCAACCTTGAGGGCAAGGTTGGTCTGAAGGGGGAGGAGATGTGGGAAACACGATTTTTCTATGTTATTATTATAATCATTATTAGGATAATTCTTATTATGGTTAGTAGTCTTCTAGTAGAATTAGGTTTATTCTTAGGGTTTTCTAGTATTTCCCTATATATATGTATTTTGGGTCATTCTTCAGATTAAGCAGAAATTAATAAGAAAAGTCATCTCCCCAAATCCCTAATCTTCTCTCAATCTCGTCTATCTTTCTCTCTAAAGATTTCGGCCATTCTATCTCTATTCTTCCCCAAATTCTCTTCTCAAATTCCTAAATCCCCAATTCTGTTCCTAATCCCTACTTCTCTTCTAAAATCCCTAAATCTCTACCAATTCCCAATTTCCAAACACATTCGTTGGAACCCTAAAAATAGGTTTCCTACACATTTACCCTTCAAACTCTCCAATCATATCACACACCACCATTAGCACTCACTCTAGCTGTAAAAAAAAAAAGAAGAAAAGCAACATGTCATGCACCAAACTTTTCACCTCCTATGATCCTTTTGAGCCTTTGACTTCACCACAAAAGCTGCACTATTTAGCCAAGGCATTGCCTTTTTCTAAAACTGATGTTGCTGTTGTGGTTGTTTACATCATGAACAACAGTCCATCTGTACCACAAAACACATGCATGATTCCAAGTGTAGTGATTGCAACCTTCATTGTTAATGGTTCAGGGAAAAGCCCTAAACTTTTTCATGGTTTCTAAGCTGCCATGAATACCCAGGAGAGAGGAGTCAGAATTTCATGCACCTGTGGCTTCTACTCATAGCCAATCTCTGCTGTTGATGAGAATGATTAGTTTCAGGTTAACATCTGCTCCAGTTGATCTCACCTTGCAGAGGGAGAGGAATGATTTAAACCCTGCTTTTGATGGCAGTTACCAAGCAATCACACTAATGACAGCTTCTTCCTCGATCTCAAAAGGAGACGGTGCAAGAGATTATTGATAGTATAGTTTGCAGGGAGTGCAACCCTCAGGTTCCATACCGATCAAATTCATGAGAATCGCAATCAGTAGTTTGGGGTCCTTACGTACTTGAATAAGATCGACGAGAGTGTAGGGTCCTAAACTTGAAAATCATACTAAATCCTATCTATTTAAAAGGTTTTATTGCCCTATCTTTTGCCAACTCATCACTACCTCCCTCCGCCACTGATCGCGGTTCAATAATGATTGTTATCTTAATATCACGTAGATCAAAACATCAATTCGTTCTATTTTTCTTCTAGTATTTACAATTTAGGACACAAAAAACGGTCACATTATTATGTACATTATGTTCCAATCCAAATGTCTGTGTAGTCATATGTCATATACAAAACCGACACGGACCGTTACACACCCCTACATGTCTGCAATGATTTTGCCTATGACACAGACCAGACCAGTGCAGGTAGATAGTCTCATGCCATAAAAATGGCTGAATGCATAGCAAAAGCAACTATGAGGAATTCATGAACAATGACAGTTGTGTATAGTAGCTAGATTTGATCTTCATATATGTTTTGGTACACTGGTCGTTCCTTAAAAAGTACACAAGCTAATTCATCACACGATGCTGTTTCTACTTCAAAGGCATCCAAGTAATTTCACAGCAAGACAGCAGTTGACTGAACAGAAAAGAGACATGGGAGAAGTCTTCGTTCGTTCGACTAGTGAAGAAAATCCTTCATTGGGTCATCATGATGTACTTTCTTCATCCTATAAGCCTCCATGTCTTCTGCTGTAACCTCGTCGTTCCACTTCACATTGTACTTGCGCTTCCTCTCATCCTTCTCCTCTCTTTTCCTCTGGTCCTCCTGTAAGGGATAAGAAAACATCAACCGGTCAATCATCCAAGCGATAAAAGCCATATAACCCATCAAGCTCTGGAGCGAGCCAAAAAAACTGGACTGCAGAAAGAGTGGATCGATCGGCTGGAAATCATCCTATTGTTACCTTTTTGAGTGCTGATGCTAGCAACTTCTCATCCAACACCAAATCATCTGGTACCTCGGTTCCCCAAGTGGCTAGCCTCTTCTCCTCCACTGGTGCTGGCAACTCTGTTGAACAGATTCATCAAACCCACCAGGATTACGTAAAAGCACATAATAAAACTTAAGGTCCATTTGATGATCATATCTTAATTGGCTAGGAAAGAATGCAGAATGATACAAGTAGAGAAACGAACCATCATCAGCCTCTTTCCTAGCAATGTTGGCTTTCATCAAATCCGTTGCAGCCTCTGCAGCCTTGATGCCGGCAGCGCCAGTGCAGTAACTGTTTCGAACAGTCTGTCTACAACATTTATAACCCCACTGATGATCTTTCCACCATGAACCCCATACACTTGTATGGTTGTTGATGTGGATATCTTCTTCGTACTTGCTTTTGGGAAGCACAACCTCCTGTAAGCACCATTGAAGAAGGATCAGTATACTGTTTTTTCAGCATACCATCTAATATTTGACCATCATTGAGGAACTCAAAGTAGATACAACGGTTAAATTCCATCAATGTGCATCTTAAGAAACCAGCAGACTGACAATAGGATTCCAAATGCAGCAATAGCTCAAATGTATTGAACTTAAACATCGAGTCAAGAGGCCTGAGAGAAACCTACAGCTAAAAGGAAAAAAATTCTTAAAGTTACCTGCCCCTTGATAATTCTCCCAGCACGATCGTACTCAACTTGACTTTCACTCTGTCCGAGTAAAAGCTCTTTTGGAATCTCATCTTGGCTGGCAGCATTCCCATACTTCTCAAGCATTTGGTCCTTTGTGTGAGTCTTCAGTTTCTCCTTATTCACCTTGAAGTTCTTATACAACAACTCTGCCTGTGAAGGAGCAGCTTGCATGTGAATATCTTGTCCCTTGTCAAAAGCTTCCCATGAATGGATGTTGAGCTGCTTGAATTCCTCAGCTTGACCACTATTTCTGTACTGGTTGTCTCCCTGTAGTTATAAGAAAAGTCAGGAACTTGATGAAACCAACAACTCATTCTGTACTGGGTATCTCCCTGTAGGTATTATAATCGGGATTCACATTTCGAAACAAGAGAAATAATACTGTCAATTGCCACTCACCAAATAGAACTTCTCATTCGGATCTGCATCTGGAAGTGGGTCCTCACGCATTGAGCGGGTTTTGGGGTCATAATAGGCAGAATTAACATCAAGATTCAAGAGATACTTTGCAGTATCTTCCCGAATACGCAGGTTCCTGCATTCAAGTAACAACAATATTTCAGTGAAACATGTTCTCTACCATCCAACTAGCAACTACAAGCAATTCTAGACCTACTGTCATAATCTTACTGAGGAAAACCGAAAAAATAATCCTAAATGATGAAAAGATGTCAATTGCTCCTACCTGACAGTTCCAGTGCTACCACCACCAGTTGTCCTTACACGCTTTTCAACCTTAGCAAAGTCCATTTGCTTGGACTCGTCAACTTTGGCTTCATCCACTCTTACATCATCGTCAATGTCCTCATCACTAACTTCCTCGGGATTCTCGCTGTTATTTTTCTCTTCCAGCTTCTTAAGCTGTTCCTCCTTCACATACCTGCTTCTAGCTGCATCACGGGCTTCATACCGTGCAACAACAAGCGCGTAATTGGACGGATCATACCCATTCCATCGATCACGCTTGCCATCATAATCAAGCTCAAAATTCTCTATTTTTTCGTCAGGGGCAATGTGCTTGTTACTATGCTTCGCCCCTATTTTCCTAGGTCTTTCCATGCAAGCTTTTGCATTGTGTGTCATGGCTCCACAGCTGCAACAACAATCACACAGTATTGAGTTGCAACTTCTCATTCAAATCATACCTAAACACGGAAATATATCCATTCAAACAAAGGAAAATCAACGCAGGCAGTTATGCTGAAGTCTACTTACTTCTCGCACGCGCCTTTCCTGTATTTCTCTGCCTGAAATACTTTTGCACCCCTATCATACCATGATTTCGTGTAATTCGGATCCGACTTCCATTTCCTTTGATGTTTTAAACTCTAACAAAGATGAACAAGGAGCGAGGGGATATGCGAATCAGCAATCTTAACATACTGAAAAGGCAGAAGCTTTGAATAAAATAAAAAAAACCCCGAATCAGCAAGCAGGCTTACTGGTTTCTCAGCATTAAGATACCAAGGTGCAGAAGACATATACTGGGGAATGTGAGGATTAATCTCTTTTCCATCTTCATCCACCTCAGCGGGAGCAAGCCCAGCTTTACGGGCTTCTTCCAATTCAATCTGCTTCCTATGATCCTCCCTCGATTTGAAGGCACCTGCAAGATTTCCCCCAAAACGAATTTAAAATTCAGCAACGACGAGAAATTCATAACCGGCAAGCTCCCAACCACCGCCGCGGAGCCCTAAAACAGGGCCTAAGATCCAAATTCACTTGCAGTCAAGAGAAACAACGCAGAGAAAGGGGCTACCTGATGCCGTCGCCATGGTACCGACGCCTAGGTTGATAAGAAATTGGTTATTAGGATCGCCGGACGAGCAAGTAGTCGCCTGAACTGCTGGAGTTGGTTGTCGGCGATAGTGAAAACCCTAAGGCTCACTGCGACAAATAAACCAGATGGCGAAAACCAAAAAAAGAATTGCCGGAGGTAGGCTGAGAGGGGTTGCGCCGCGGCGGAGCTCGAGGGATTGGCCTGACGAAATCACTGAATTTCCTTTTTCCGGAAGGAAACCAATCTATGACATCGCGTTAATAGCTCTATAAGCGACCTCCTGGCTCCTCGTTTACAAATTACAACTGACCCCTTGTATTTTTTAATCAAAGCAATAGCCAACTTTGTTTTCCTAAATAATTATGATACATCAGGATTCAGAAATTAACAAGTAAATTTAATAACACTTTACCAAGTCCCAGTACTTTGCAATATTTGCAAAGTAATCCCAAATTTGGAAGTTGCATCATTGTCATGTACATAATTAGTAAAATACGGTACGGGAAAGTTATGTATAAAATACGTACGTGTATTTTACGTTGTCTCGGTACTAATGTTACGTTTAATAGTAGGTTAATATTCATAATTATATAAAAATAATTATTTTAAAATAAATAATCATATAAATAATAGTAAATTTAATAATTTAATTCATTAAATACGGATATTAAACGTGTTATACGAGTTTTATACGTGTTTAATACGGGAGCCATCAAATGAACGGACAAAAATGAAACGGTTCGACAATAATATGAATACGGAAGTTTTAAACGAATAAAGTACGTACGGGTACATATACGTGTATTAAACGTAGTATTTACTAACTATGGTCATGGATTATAGCGAAACTTTCGATTTCAGCATTAAATACCCTTCATGAATATTATGATCGAACCTCGAGGACAAGAACTTCTTGTTTCAGAGGATCAATCCATCAAACTTGATCAACCATGAACGAGTCAGGGGACAGTTTTACCATTATTGAATTAAAGAAAAAACTAACCTGAGTATAAATCCATAACTTCCATTCTCTTCAAATGAGTAGATCAACTTCCATCATTTCATTACGACAGAAAAATGTACATTGTTAAGAATCTAATTATGTACAATAAACTCCACAATCCAATGAAACAAATAAAAACAATCTGGTGCAAGGGGGAGTATTACTTCTAAAGTCTGCATTTTGTTCCAACAAACCCAGAATCAGAGAACCAAGCTATGGCCACTTAACTTGCCATAAACTATGTACAGAACCGAGCAGAAAGAGAAGTGGAGATTTGCGTTCTCCTTTCTTATTTTAATCACTTTCATAGTCATCATCGTCCCCAAAAGTGAACACAGATGCATCAGCAGCCATTGCTTTGAACTCGCTCTCCGTGCTGTTCGACGCAACGCCGCCCGAGGTGTCACTGCCTCCCTTTGGCTGATTAGTGTTGTGCACCGGCTTCTCGGATGCCGCATTCGCCACAGAAACCTGTTCTGTCGCTTTTGCTAAACTCGAAACTTGTTGCTCCGTTTTAGCAGTGGCCGCCGCTGCAATAGATCCCCCATCTGCTGCAGTAGTTGCTTTGGGTTGTGTCATAGCTTCAGCTCCTTTTCTCTTGGAAGACACCGATTCATCTGCTTCATTGTCTGAAAATACATCATCCTTGTCGGGGCTTGGTGTGGAGCCTTTGCTTTGCATTGAGGTGGCAGGTGTGGTTGGCGCTGAAGCTGTCTCGACCGAGGTGGGAGGAACAGTGCTCGAGCCTCCTTCATCGGACTTTGCTGGGGGTGTGTTTAGAGATGCTGGAGCAACATTGCTATTGTTGGCATCTACCAGAACCACCTCAACTTGAAACCCTGCTGATGGAAGTTTTCTCTGCATGAAAACAAAGAATCAAGGTGTGGTATTATAAGAGCATCAGAAGCAGAAGGGTGAAGGGATATTATCATGTAAGTTCCTACCTTGTCAAAACCGTCCATGTCGCCAGTGTTCAAAATTGTTCTGTTTTCCATCATTGTTGTGTTTAACCAACTGATACAATAATATGAAACAAGTTAGTAATTAGTAATGTGTATAATTTTACATGAAATATGGAATAAATTTAAAAGGATAAGATACAGACAAGTAGAAGTCTCCCTGGCGGTCATGAAACTGGACTTTGAAGTCTCCAGCCACCTCTGCCAGACCCGGCTCCCCTGGGAGAGCAAAGACCATAACTCCTTTCTTCGGCGCACTGAACCAATAGTCTTCTGGCTGCAAGTAGCATAAAGAACACATAATAAACTCGTCTGAAAGCATAGAAGATCAATAAATGGAATATGCATAACAAGTTCCAAGAGCTAGTAAGGCCTACCGATAAGTCCTTGGTCCTCGAATGCTTTTTCGAAGAAAAGAGGACACCTGCAATAGGTCATAACAGCAGCAGCAGCAATAATCAATCGACATAACAATCTTGAACATTTTATTCAAGTAATCTGCTAATTCTAGGTCAGCTATCTATATTAAACATCTACATTTACGTTCCATAGGAACTTTCATACTAAGCATTGACCACTACAGGTAAGCATACACCCAAAAGAAATTAGCCCTTCTATAAACTTTGCTCTCTCATGAAGATCATTAGTAAGGAAGACGAATGTGAGAATCCATATAAGTAGATGATGGTATCAAGCAAGCTTATACCCTAATATGAAAAGGAAGAATAATTCCAGTATCTATAACTCCACAAGTAAGGGAACATGAAAACCATGACAAAAATTAACAACAGACCATTATGATCAGAAACAGTTATAGCAGGCCGTATCCAGTAAGGGCACCGGTGAAGCCGAAATCCCCGAAGCATGCACCTGTATGATAATAGAAAACTTAGCAACTCTACAAAGGAAGAAAAAACAACAATGATAATAGTGAAAATCCAAACCACACTATTCTATACCTTCGCCCAGGCTGATTTTCACCATTGAAGTATGTTAAGGTACGCTCGAAATACTTCACATATCTCTGCAAGAGAACAGAAGTTTAGTGTCAAATAACATGGAATCTGAAGGTATAACCGTGCAGACTGCAATCTTTAATAGCATAGCAATAATCACTTACAATTTGACTGGGCAGAACAAGTCCTTTCCCATCGAAACATCTCTTTTGATTGTAGTAATCAATGGACTCTTCTGCTGTAGGAAAGAACTGCAGAGAGTATGTTGTAGTTTGTAAGAATTGGTGTCTCTAAGAAATGTAATTTTTCACGGGACACCTCGTCCAACCATTTCAGAAATGTGCAGTGTCTTACTTTCAGGTACAGAAGAAGGCTAGAAATCATGAGCCCTGTCCTTGCCATTCCAGCCTTACAGTGGACAACCACAACATTCTCAATATCTTCCTTCAACCATGAGTAAGCACTATGACAAAATGATATTATCAGTTGAATCGGGGGGCAGTTGTGGTCATCAAACGGAAAACTAGCCACCTGATCATAGAGGATAACACAACACCCGTATGAGAAGAAACGATTTTTCCCTAGAAGACCACCGAGGAAGAAACAACAACACGCACCTTTCCTTCGAACAGTGATGCGTCGTAAAGCCTCTCAGAGCAAAGGTTGTATACTTTGTACTTGTCCTGTATGAAAAGTAAACAAGCTCACCCCCAGAACCAAAACGAAAGAGCTCAGATTAAACAGATGCAGTTCCCACTTCAAGCTGCATTGCTGTCATAGCGTAATCAATTACAACCAGGGATGTAGTGCATGCTGAGAGATGGTAATAATATTAGATCATGAAAACCTTCGATAAAAATTACAAGTAAATGAATAAGCTTATAAGCAGAGGAAGATATAAATATTTTTTATAAATTGCCTGTAGTATGAGGTCAGGATTACTTCCTTGAGATTTATGGGCAGAATAACGTTCAAAAGAGGGCATAAAGAGAATTAGAACTAGAGCACCCCGGGTCAGGTGAGACAAATTGAAAGTGAAAGCGTGCCCAGGAACAGTCTAAATACAACTTCAGCGCAACTCAGCATAAGCAGCTATCAGGATTGTCACATATGAAGACATTTGAATATGTAATCCCACAGAATAACTAACTGTTGGCACAATCATTAGACAGGATTGAATTGCAAAAGTATCAAACATATGATTACCTTGTGATGCATTTCGAAAAACTTTATCACTTCTTCCATGTGGTTGCGGTAGAACCCCTGCATCATTCAGTTGAATAGCTCGTCCATGTGGAGTAAAAACAAAAAGGTTTAAAGACTGTGAGAGGGTAGATAAAATGTCCATACCTCAACATAGCCAAAAAACCCAGAACTCATATCACCAGCAGGAAATCCCATAGCTATTATATTTTCAGTGATGTAGGTCATGTCAAGATCAAATCCCCCATCCTGAAAAGAAGAATTAACAATAGAATGTTAATGGATAAAGTAGATGATGAATTCTTCTCATCAACATCAAGTGAGAAAGTAGGTCCAAACCCTGGAAAGTCAGATTTAGTGCAATACCCTTATATGCTGATTACGGGTGATATATAAAAAAAATCAATGTTCTATTGACATATGACACTAATGAAAAATGAACAAAATTAAGCATATCATATGTTCTTTGCAATATATAGATAGACATACTGAATTCAACAGGTGAAGTACGATGACTATGGACTAGAGTATTAAATATACGGAAAGAAGTCTTCACATCTATTCCATACCTGGTACCTCCTCTTATTTTGAGAAACAGCATGCCGAGCCTTGACTTGTACCGCTTTCACTGCATTCTTTGATGTATCAACTAAACCTTTGGTAATTGTTCCAATGAAGCCAGGGGATGTCTCAGGTTCAGGTGAACCCTCATTTGCTGGAGGTGATTTTGGAGATGAACGCAACCCGAAACCGCTTGTGAAGCGTGAAAAGGTTGATTTTCCAGCACCCCCAGTAGGTGAATCATCCACTGTGGTAGTCAGTGGCTGAGGGATTTTGAAACTTCTAGCCCAAGAAGACAACTTTGATGGCACATCACGCACAGAAGTATCTGATCCAGAATCTACTGACGCAGTTGGTTGTATCTCAGGAGATTTTGCTGATACAGCTGACGGGTCAGCAGGTACTGAATCCATTTATTCTTTATCGCAATTTCGTCAAGATTGTTCAAATGAGCAATTCAAGGACTGGAAATGGCATGAGCACTCACTAAAGGACCAATGCAGTGCGACTGCAACACATCAAGTTAAGATAGGAACATTCATTAGTTTGCTAACGTGAATGGTAATTAAAGATAGTTATGCATGTGATAATGCCTACGCGGTTTAGCTCAACTATGACCAACTCCGACAGTGACAAAAGAAGAATCTTACGATAAGACCAAGACCACAAAGATTATATGAATTTTCCATGAGTCCTGTTGTTTCACTTCCGAGAAGTTAGATCTCTGAGAAATTCATATGCTGTGCAGTGCATGAACTGAAAAAGCACCTTGTACCATCAGCACATTGTAGATACAGTCATGCAAGCAAAATACTATTAGTTCACAACATCTTAAGCTAACAAGTAGACAGATTCACACAGATTCGAGGTCGTGTTCAAAACCCCAATTCCACATCCTAACTCCCAAGGAAGCCTTATATACTTGCAAATGCAATTCTTAAAAAATTCAACACGGAACTTAAGCCCATATGCGTATTACTAACCAAATCCACGGAGTCCTCAAAACCCCAATTCCATATCCTAGTTGATTTACTTAGTACTAGCAAACACCAAACCATTTGACCGACACTGGCAGCGATTGGCCATGTAAGTGCCAGATTAAACCAACGCAACCAACCAGTCGCCATAAAACCTCCTAGGCAGTGATGTACCTAAAAACAACTAGCGCCGTACAAACTTTCAGCTGCACCAAACCGACTTTCCAAATTGGACCGACTCGAATCACCTCATTCTTCGAAGTCAATCGACTAATTCGGTAACATCAATTCCTACTTTCAAAACCATTTCATCGCGAAACTACAAAACGATCGGCAGGGATATCGGAGTAGCCGCAAGTTACCGGGGGGGAAAAACAATTTGCCGAAATAGGAACACTTGAGAATTGCGAGAGCGGAGATCGGAAGCGATCAAATTTAGCTTACCTTGCAGAGATTCGATGCAGAAAGGAAGGACCACGAGCTCGCAAGTGAGTTCCGAGATTAGGGTTTGAGAGGGCAGCAGAAGAAGAGGAGTGTGCTGGAGGAGAAACTGGTGAGAGTAGTAGAGTATGGGATCTCTATCCAGGTTCGACGATCACGTGCTTGATCTGGTCAAGCGGGTTACGCTTCCAGCTGTGAGCAGTATTTTGAGTGATCCGACGGTGGGCATTGGCCCGATTTCAATATATTTGCCAGGGGAGTTGTTTATTTGATAAAAAAAAACAATAAATCTATTCATTTGTTTCTCTATTATTTTTATAATGATGAAATCCATTACAAATCGGAACATTAAGGCCATGTTCACTTCCATTTTCGTTTCCTGTTTTCTGTTTTCATGTTACAAATTTGGCAAACGAAACGAGAAAACATGTTTACTTTTCATTCTGTTTTCTATTCGTTTCCAACTCTGAAAACAGAAAGTGGCAGCTTCCTACTGTTTTCGAAAACGAAAAAATGTCGTTTTCACCTGTTTTCAACATCTGTTTTCTCAAAAACAGGAAACAGAAATGAAAGTAAACATGGCCTAAGGATTTTGTAAAATCGACATTGTATTGAAAAGTCGATCATAGAGTATTTTTGTGTTGAAATTGTAGTTCAATTGTATTATATTGCTAAAACTCACATATCGATTTAGATTCTGATAAAAAAAAAATTTGGTCGGACTGCAGATACAACTTCACAAACACTGTGAAATACAACAGAAGTGTACACAAAGAAGAGGAAAATGAGATACAACATACTAAACTAATAATGTTACACCTAAATACATTCAATAAATCGTGAAAAGCTTTGTTTCAAACGATACAAAATGAGGTGGACCACCTCATTCTATGATTCTAATATGTGATTTGAGAAAAATGTAATAAAGAACATAGAAAATAAATCTTCAATCAATACCAATAAACTTTATATGTATGTGGTGACTTTTGCATTTTTGGTCTCATAATTGCTAAGATGATATGTTCAAAGGGTACCAACAATTAGGGGTAAATTCAATGTTTGGTCACTGAATTTACTAAAAAGTGTCATGTTTAGTACATACAAATATTTAATTCCAATGTTGGTCATGCGAATGAATCAAACAGTTCATGTTTGGTAATGGACTATTTGACTAGTTCGAGCGGCCAAACATGAACTATTTTGACTAATTCGAGTGATCATTATGGGTTGTTTGACTAACTCGAGTGACCAAAATTAGAATTAAATATTTCTAGTGATTAAATATGACATTTTTTAGTAAACCCAGTGACCAAATATGGAATTTACCCAAACAATTAGTGATCAGAAGATTTCCAGCAATTGATAATCTGAAAGTCAATGACTTGCAAGTTGCAATTGATTCAATTGGTGTCTGAATACATATATACACCAAAGCACCACCATATCAGTCTCAGACATTCGAAATTGCTCAACAACTAAAACCAAATCAAGGGGGATGGTGATTGCGGCAATAATTTATCATAATGCAAACTCTCCTCAAACTTCCAGTTCTCCATTAGATCTCCATCTGCAGGCGAGGCCTGATGCTCTTAGCCAAGAACCGCTTCATCGTCGCCACTCCAAACGGATTACTCTCGCTCTGCACAAAACAAACCCAAGTTAAATCACATCAGCTTCAACAATGGATGCCAAAAAACAACCGAATACAGAAATGGGGAATCAAGCTCAAGTTACCATTCTGCAAGTTCCAGCCTTGAGATCACAAACTGGATACTCTTTAGGGCAGCAGCTGTAGTGATCGTCGCAGCAAGTGGCCGACTCGAGAGGGCAGCATCCCCACCCGAAGCAGTAGCTGCCGTACTTATAAACGCAGCAGCAGGTGGTTCCTGCAGGGCAGGAGTAGTAGTCGTCGCAGACGGTTGAAGGAGGCGGCGGAGGAGGAGGAGGAGTGGCCGGAGTCGGGCCCGGTTTAGGCGGGTTAGCACCCTTCTTGGTTGGATACGAAGCCTCGATTGCAATGCCGCACTTCCCAGTCTTCGTGCCAGCCACATTGCGCTCCATCTTGATGTATCCTTCCTCTCCCCAGCTCGGACCCCACGAGTTCCTCACGATCCAGTAGTCTACACCTTTCTCGGTGCCGTACCCAACTGCAACGACGCCATGGTCGAGCTGAGTTCCACACTGGCCGGTGAAGACTCCCGACTGGTAGAGCTGGAACGCCCTGCCGCCGGCTTCGATGGCCACGCTCACGGGCTGGTGTGCCACGGCCTTCTTCAGTGACTTCTCGTCGTTCGTTGGGACGTCCTCGAACCCGTCTATGGTGACAACCTTGGCATTTTTCTGAATTAAGAGTAAACCAACAAACATGAGACACAGTAACAAAGATTTTAAGTGAACAAAGTTCCTGAACTTTGGGTTAAAGAAGGCATCATTAGTTCATTACCCTGTTGGAATCACAGACGCTGTCGACAGCCTTGTAAGGGTAATCTTCTTCGGTGTCGATCCCGCCGTTGTTGATGATGAACTGGAAGCCGTAGTCCATGAGACCACCATTGCAGCCCTGGTTATAGGAAGTATCGCAATCAACAAGCTCCTGTTCTGACAGGGTGATCAGCTCGCCAGTGACAATCTGGTTGATCCCTTCTACAGCTCCAACAGTCGAGAATGCCCAGCAACTACCTGTGATTTTGCATCACATAGAAACAGATTTAAGGTTCCATAGCTCAAGTTCTATTCACTTTCCATTAAAACCTAATCCAATCCCAAAAAAAGCTGTAAAACGACAACAGAAAGCAGATGAAGACAATTCTGGCGGCAAAGCCTAATTCATCATGGTCCACCATATTAGAAGAACAGATCAATACCCTAATCTATTAACAACCATCGCAATCGCCGGACCCATATCCACAAACCAAATCAAAACAAGGAATTGAATACTTTCATTCATCCACAGAATTCCAAACTTTCAGGAAAAAGGAATCTGAAGGGAGGAAAAAAAAGACTTACCACACTGGCCCTGATCTTTGACCGGAGCCACAGCTCCCTTCTGGCGCCAATCGACGGAGCCCGGCAAGTCATCGCCCTTTTTGAACAAATACCTACCCCCGACGACGGCGGCGGACGACGAGCCGTTGACCTTCCTCTCCATCGAAACCCCCAAATACCTCGACCGGTACTCCTCGTTGGTCAAATCGGCGAACCGATTCAAACCCACCTTGTAACTCCTGTCGACGGAGTTGTGCTCGTCGACGAACCTCAGATTGTCCTTGAAAATCTCGAACCTCCGCTCCCTCTCTCCTAGGGCATTGTAGTTCTTGCGGTGGGCCACCAGCCACTTCTCGTACATCGTCCGCAGCTCCGCCTCGCTCCTCTCCGGAGCCGGGAGGCCGTGCCGGGCGTCGTAATCGATGATCGACATGTCCATGGCGGCGGCGGAGGCGAAGAGGAGGGAGAAGAGGAGGAAGGAAGCTGATAACGACGCCATTGTCGCTAGCTTTGGAATTGCAGAAGGAGAATGTGGGTGTTGGATTGGTGGGTGGGAAGGGGAAGAGTGGTTATATAGGAGAGCGGCGTTGAATTCGGAGGCTGTAAAACTAAAATTCTTCGCACGCAAGCTCGAGGGTAGGGGGAGGAGATTCCTTTTTCTTTTGGGTGGAAAACGAAAAGGAAAAAGAAAACTGTTGTTTGTTGTTGTTGCAGAATGCAGAGAGACGGGTTGTGTGGGCGGGCGGGCGGGCGGGTCGGGTCGGTGTGGACACGGGGATCCGTTTTTGTTCGTTTCTTCTGACGGTGAGGATTGATTGGTGGGTTTGCTTGGCAGGTCAATTTCACAATGGTCACAAAACTTTATGTTACTTCCAAATTAGTCACTGAAGTTTTGTTCAGTAAGGAGATTGTCATCCACTAGACTGCCATTTATTTATGTAGCAAAGACTGCCAAGATATCTTAGTATTGTTCTGGGGTTCCTTGTTAGGTTATTAACCTAGGGGTGAGGTGTTATAACTTGTAAGTCCAAGAACCAATTTTGATTGGAATGAACTCCAATTTTTTCATAAAGCTGTGTTCACTTCACATGAAAAAAAAAATTGATTAGACATGGCACGTTCCTGGGTTATATTTGAATTTTGGAGTGTCATTGATTCAGTTGTATCAACTTATTAGGATTTAGGGTATAGACAACTCACTGTAGTAAATTCGAAGAAACCAATAAGATAAGGTAGCTAACTAATACAAGTCCATACTCATGGTATACAATGTCCACGAATTAAAGATAGCGATAGATAATGTTTTCTTCTTATCGTGATTTTTTTACAACTTGCTTACTTCGTATATATTTATCTGTCTATATGTATATATCATATATGTCATCAAAACATTGCTTCATGTTTTGAGAAAACGACCTTTGGTGATAGTCAAAATCTGTTGAGAAGAGATATAACAAATGGATGAGGAGGAGGAGGAGCATGAGGTTTGAGCAGGCGGGCACTTGAACCAATAATCCCATGAAAATAATATTAATGGTCCATCATGGAGTAGGGCAAGTTTCCTGTAGTATTATTTATGGCAAGTTTCCCAGATCTCTTTCCAACTTGTTAGCAAAGAGTGGCCGCAACAAACACCCAGTTGAATCGGCAATGGCCTTCAAGAACAAACCAACAAACAATAATATGCAAGCCACTAGAGTCACATGGCAAAAACAGGCTCAATATTTTGATATTATTGAGATGCAACTTATTATGTGTCGAATTAGATTCATGTTCAACTATTTAATTTGGGTCTAAATTCGACGTATATTATTTGGTGCCCAAAAGAAAAGGAATATTCGATTCTTAAATGCAGTTTTTGCCTCGTTTTTTGTTAGGAAACAAAAACAAAGGTGGAAATACCTAGTGGTGTTCAAATGGTTACCGTGGTAATCACCAAACCAATTAAGTCTAAATTTCATTAACCATGGAATAAAATGTCTTAACCAAACCGTTCAAATTAACACGAAAACCAAATTAACCAAACTAAAGTTTCATTGATTTGGTTATTCGGATAATCGGATTAACCAAATAACATTACATGAAAATTATTTTACCTGTTAATGAATAAAACATAACCATATGTTATTACTATAATAAAGGGTTAATACCTTATTTTGGCCCGAATTATCACCATATAATCAACTTAGGCCCGTGGTTTCAGAAATTAACATCATGACCTCAACTATGCAGCATATAGACTCAATTGGCCCGACACATAGTTT